AAAAAAAAAAAAAAAAAAAAAAAAGGAGGGATCACTCAGTGCTGCTTATGTGCTATCTTGGACAAAGCCCGTATGAAACTTCTGCTGCACGTCACTTACCAGTCTCAGGAGACCGAAGCTACAAACTTCAATTATCCTTAGCTTTGTCCTCTCCCTCACCTCAATCTTCAAGCTTCCTGGATTCTAATCTCAGAATCCCTCTGGAACACACCCTCTCTGCTCCCACTCTTTGGCATGTATGTTAATCAGCTGGAGTTAGACGCCCATCAGGGGTGGGCACAGCTGGTTTCTCCTGAAGCCTCTCCCATTGGCTTTGGATGGTCATCTTCTCCTGTATCTCTGCATGGTATCCTGTGTGTGTGCTGAACTCCTTTGATAACACCAATCATGTTGGATGAGGGCCCATTTGTAAGACCTCCTTTAACTTTAATCATCCCTTTCTATGTGTTCTCTTCAAATACAGTCACATTCTGAAGGGGTTAGGACTTCACGTGATGAATTGTGAATTCACATATGAATTATGATGACACACAATTGAACCCCTAACAGCTTATCATGTAAGGACTTTAACAGATTGACCTCTGCTTTACTCCTTTAACTTAGCTTTGGAATCTCTTCCACAGAAATTCAAGCTACACCTAAAAGACCTGAAGCTTTCTTAAAACACCCAGTGCTCTGACCCCACCATACATCTGCTAACACTGTTCCTTATTTCTGGAAAATGGAACCTCCACTCTATCTCCTCAGAACTCAACTCCTTAGCCTCGTAAACTATCAAATAAGTCATAGGTCAGATACCGCCTCCTTTGCAAAATAAATTCTGAACTGAGAATGAGCCAACCCTACACTTTGGTAAATTATTTAACAAAACCCTGTCTCTTCGCACAGAATCTTAAATTGCCACTTATCTTCTTGTTAGAATACATAGGCTTGCATTCACAGAGGCTCTACAAATAGTAAGCATTTAATAAACATTTGTTGAGTGAATGAAGTGGGAGAGATTGTAAGACAGACTAAACGCAAATTTGGCTACAATATAAAAGAAGACATTACAACGGCAATAAAGAAACTTAAGTAAAAACCAAACAAAGGAAGAACCTCCTTGTGGTCCAAGAAATGGAGTTTCTTTCCAAGCACACTATTCTGCTACATTTCCCAGACTCCTCTGCTATCTACTGGGACACATGACTGGATCTAGAACAGTGGTGGCAAACCTGTAACACCTATGCTGCAGTGGGCTGTGTGTATCACTGACAACTTTAAAATCACCATGACTGGTCCAGACAATGAAGTTCTAGCTTCCAAGATCTCTTGGGAAGTCTCCATTCTCTGCACTTCTGGATTACAGAGGGTCTAGTAGAACCGAGGCTATAGGTAATTGTGGAGTCACTAGTTGGGAAAGAGCTTGGATCTCTGCTAACAGCTAAATGGACTGTGCTAAGAGGAACAAATACCATTATATTGTTTAGCCCTAGGATTGTGGATATTTAAAGACACTGAGGGAATGGATATTCATGATCACATTAACTCTCTTGACTACCAAACACCTGAAACATAAATGTGCTCCAAGTTATACCACTGCTCACTGCTTTGGTGTAACTCCTATCCTTTAAAAATCCTATCATCCTGGGGCTGGGGCTGGGGATTTAGCTCAGTGGTTCTGCTGCCTGCCTCTCAAGGACACAAGTTGAATCCCTGGTACCAAAAAAAAGATCCTATCATCATAATGCTTCCTTGGTCATATTCACTGAGGCTCCTCCTGACCTCTAGATCCCAACAGTATTTTATGTGCATCTCTCTTCATGGCTTTTAATATTTTATACCTTATATTATAGTCTCTTTTATATTAGCTTCCTTTCGACTGTAAGCTCCATGATGAGTATATCCAGTGAAATGTTTTATGGCCTGTAAGACAAAGCGTGGTGTTCAATGTTAGTAGAACAGTCTAAAAATTCATGAAATGCACTTTTCATGTTACATGGCAGTTGTAAGTACTGGAATGCTGTGGTTTGGACTGACTTGGAAGGTCTGAGATGGAAAGTTGGAATTGTAAAGAAGGGAGCCCTGGATCCCCACCTCGTTCCCATGATTCTGATCTAAATGGTCTGTGGACCACAACTTGCAGATAGTTAGAGGTTAGTAAGAATGGGGGAGAGAGAGAGAACATAGTCTGGGAAGTCCTTTTGTCTTCTAATTAACAATCAGAGTCTTCAAACATAATTTTGATCTCATCATGCCCTGCTTTAAAAAATATTATTTTGTTATTTCATTGAAGAAATTCAAATAGTTATTGACTGAGGAGCATGGATCAGGCAGTATTGTAAGGGTCTGATACTGTACTGTGCCAACCCCACTGAGTAACCACGCGACCTTAGAGAAGATGCAAACTTCCTTTGGGTTTAGTTTCCTTACCTGAAAAGACTGTGTAGGAGGAAGAATGGATCCTCAAGGAACTGAAAGGTCAATGCAACTGGAGGACTAAGCGTGGCTCAGAGTGACAATGGTAAAATGAAACAAGGTTGTGTCACTCAAGAGCTTGCAGGTCAGGATGCAAATCATGCCTCTAACTTCAAAGGTAGCGGGAACCCACAGTCGGATTCACAGCAGGAAGGAGCTATGCACAGGGATATACGCACTGTACCAGCAGTTAAAGTTGAATCAGCATTTCCTCCAGAATAAAGAAAATGGGTAATGATAATCACACTAGTATAATATTTTGAGGGTACTAAGTAAAAACAGGAATTAAGCTTTAAGACTATGTTCAACTTCTAAATAAGATGGAAAATTAAATTAAAGCTTGCTTACTGAGGGTAGCAGTAATCTCAATTCATTCCCAAGACCACAAATTTCTTTATGTCATATAAACATAAACTAAGCCTCAGTTACAAAAGAAAATTTTATTAGGTGTGAAAGCAAAACAGAGATACCCACTTAAATAGTCTTTACATATTTATAGTTACAACATGGACAAATAATTTATTAAAAATTACATGTTCAAAGAATAGTACTATTTTAAAATAGCCAATATGGTATCTGAAAATGCTCTATTTTATTCATAAGCAGTGAATGTTATCTCCAAAAGAAGTAATCTGTATATTCTTGTGAAAAATATAAAAGTTTTTTTTAATTTTTAAATTTTTTTTTACGGTGTTTGCCAAGAGTATAAAGGAATAGTCCACCTCTCTAAGCCTGAAAGAGTACATATACACTTATTGAGAACTATTTTACCAAGTGGCCATAAAACCACCTTTGTTTTCCTCTGGGCTTAGATGAACTCCAAAATTCATTTCCTTTTCAAACCTTGGCAGGGTGCAAAACAAAACAAACAAAAACAAATCAGAATGACAGTTTCCAGGTGCTTTTCTTCATACGGAGCGAAGAACCTTCTCTTTGGCTGGATGAAAGAGCATGGTGTATTGGGATGTCCAATCTACCACACAGGGCTTCACCAAGCCAAAGCAGCCACACTGAAAGAAGTCTGCCAGGTTCTGTTTGAATCCAAGGCTGCCAAGAAAACAAGAGAGCAAGCCTTACTTCACTTCCTGTGTAGCTATTCACAAACCTTCATTCAAACCATGAACTTTCACTGAGCATCTGTGAGACAATGTCCTCTGATGACCCTGCAGAATTCCTGAGGTACTCTGGACTCTTCCCGGGTCTATGGACCCTTAAAACGGAAACATAATTCTATTTCTGAATTTGAAACCCTACTTTGAGATTCCCTGACTTGTGCCCAGCAACCTGACTGGGCTTTTCTTTATCAACCTCCTTTTGAGAGACCCACACCCACTGTATTGCTCACTGTCATCACTGAGTCTCTTCCTTTCGATTTCCACTACCATAATTCAGACTTTGAGTATCTCAAAGGCCACACAGGCCAGAACAACTGTAATCAGTATGTTTTTTTCCCTTAACTGTCCAAATAACTCTCTAAATGATGTACTTATCTAGGTCCCTTCCAGTTCAGCTTACATAGCGGAGCCTGTCTAGTCCTGCAAAACCCGACACGTTCATAGTTCACGTCTCAGTGAAGCCTTTCAAGACACTGCTCTTCCCAGAGGCCCCAATCCAAACTCCTCATCTTTGTGGTCAAAGGCCTCTACAACGAACCCAAGATTTAGCTCCCAAAGTCAACTTTATAAGCCTACTGCTTTCTGCTGGCTCCATTTTCCCCATGGGGACCCACATTCCCCCACCCTTACCGCAGGTCAGCTCCTCGTCCTTTTAAGCCCTATCAGCTCTCAAGGCCCAGTCGATGCCCACGTTCTTACTGGGCCCTTCCTGACTACCATCTTCAGCATCACCTTTTCTCCACCAAACTCCTGAAGTACTAATGTCCTATTCCAGTATGAACAATGATTATTTTATATGCATATACCCAGTCTTTTAAGTGCAACTCAGTTCCCCCATACATAGAAATAAGTATGTGGGGCTGGATATGCAGCTCAGTGGTAGAGCACTTGCCTAGCTAGCATGCATGTGCCTCTGGCTCAATTCCCAGTATTACATAACAAACAGCAGCACATTTGTGCATTAAGATGACTGTGCTGTTGTCGTTTAGATGATTGTGTGGCACACACAAAGAGGACCGTGCTGGTGTCAGGGAAGAATCAATGCTACTCAGAAAGCAGCTTCCCAGGGATGGGAACATTTCTAACTGCACAGAAATGCTGGAGTGGCAGCAGAGGGACATGCTAAGAAGTACAGGGTCTGGTTCGAGACCCACTTCATAAAGGAGGGCTAACAGGTAAAAACTCCGGTTAGGGCAGGATTTTGGAAGCTAGATTCAAAGCAACTCCAAGGCTTTACCTCTAGTTCCTCGAGTTATGCTGCCTTGCTCAGCAAATGTATACCAGCTCTCACCTCCTCTCCCCCTTTAGGACTCTTCCCCAGGCTTGGCACGCCCTTAGTTCCCTTTTACATCAGGTCTGCACCAGATCTCAAGGCCCAACTTAAAATTCCACCTTTATCAAAAGTCTTCCGTACTTTGGTGGAATAAATATTTATTCCTCTGGTTAAAGCACCGCAAAAGGGATTTTATCATCACCACCAGCCCGAAACAACCACAACGAACGAGCTTCACACTACACTCCCAAAGCTGTAGCCATTTCTTCCTATTAAGTCCATTTCTCTCCTCTCCAAACACACACTGCAGTCACACCCCAGGCTCTGATCTCCTTGTCTAACAGCCTAACAGTTTCATCTTGTACCAAGAAGAGGCTTTAAAATAGACTGCTCCAGAGATATGCAGTGAGTGCGAGCGCTCGAATCCCTCAGGGCTTCTGGGTCACCTCTGCAGTGCTCTCGGCCTCCCAGCGCTGATGGAGGTGGCAGGGAGATAAGCTTCAAGGCCTCATCTTTTTTGTATCATGAAATGACAGCCTTTCCACAAACACTGTCATTTTAACTGAAGACAGGTTTTATACACTCAATGCTCTGGGGAACATATTCCAAACTTGAAAAACAGGATCCCCCCTGACACAGGTGGGCATGCTGAACACAGGGCTGAAAGAATTACTGGTGACGGAAAAGCCAGGCTGAAAATTCTGGCAAAACACACAACCTAAAGCTTCCGACAGGCAGGTGGCCGGCTTGCTCAACCAAGCGCTTAATCACCTCGCATTGACTCCAAGCCAGCAACCTGCAACCTTGTGACTGTGCGGATTGACTGGAGAGATTCCCCATCTTGGCAAAACTTCAAAGTCACTTACTACTAAATTCCTCACCACCTTGGGATCATGACCTCACCACCCCAACCCTGCCACTGAGGCTTCCAAGAAAGGGGGGCTCGACTCCCCCAAATAGCAAATTAGAGAATGGCAGCATGGGCCCAGGGTGGGGACACTAGGTTAGGAAGTCAGTGGCTGGGGGTCTTCTGGTCATGGAGGCCAGGAAAGATCTCACTTACTTGTACGGTGTCTTCCAGAGGGACAGCGTCTGTTTCATCTGCCTGCTCTGTTTCAGCAGGCTGATTCTCTCATGGGAGGTCAGGCCCAGAAAAGCAATCTGAAAGAGAAGGACGGAGGGAACCTAAAAACACTGCTTTGCAGCTCCATCACCCTTAACAGTACATCAGAGGGCACCAGCAAACCCTCAGAACTGCCCCCTCCACTGCCTCGGCCTCCCTCCTAGACAACGGTCAAGGCACGGGTGAAGCTTCAGCAGCCTTCAACTGTATCCTGCATTTGTTGCTATGAGAATCTAGTTGCTAGGCTTTCTCTTTGTGATTGTCTCATTTTTATTAAATTTTCAAGAAAGCACTGTGGATTAATTTAAGAGTTGTGAAATAACTGCTTTATTAATTCCAGCTATGGCTAATGGGCATGTTTAGATTTTTAACACAAAGAGTATATAATTCTCAGGCAAAGAAAATAATCGAAAGTCAGTATCAGTGCAATTATCTCCATTTGTTAATTCTTAGAAGTTCTCTGAAAAGGTGCCCCCCGCAAATGTTTATAAACTGACATGATGAACATTTAAATCCATAAATTTGGAGAAGAATAAGAATTAAGGTGTCGTATAAACTTCCAAATCATTAAAAGCCACAACTATTTACAGAGTTATCCCATTTCAGATTGAAAACAACTCTAAAGGCAATTTCCTCATCTGTGAAGTGGAGCTCAGCGTGCCACTCTTTTTGTGCTAAGATACACACACCCGGTGCTGGGCCTAAGGGAGGGGAAGGAACTGCCCCAAGGCCACTTCGCTGAGGCCACTGAGCCAGGAGGGGCTCCTCCAGGGTCACTGGCTCCTCAGCAGCTGTCCACACACCCAGTGCCATTGAAACTAGGCCCAACCAGAGCACTCAGGAAATGAGCAGTTTTGAAGAAGCGGACTGCTTTGCTCATTCAGTAAACAGCTCTGCTCTAAATTCTTATTTCTGAAAATTATCTGAAATTTAAGTTCGTTTTCCTTCCGTAGAAAGTATATACAAAACCTATTAACCTTTCTTTTAAAAATTAATGGTATCATAACCTCATACACTCCTGCTTGTTCTAAGAGTCCGGAAAAGAAGAAAGAGAATTAGAACTGATGCCTCCAATCTTACTCCACCTCTTACCAGGCCTACGGCCACAGCAAGGCACTGACCATCTCTTGGGTTTAGTTTTTTATCCGTAAAATAGAGATACTTTGGCATGGCGCACACCTCAACTGCTTAGGAGAAAACAGATGGGAAAACCCCAGAAACCTGATTTTACTCAGCATTCACTCTGTTCTTTCCTTAGCATTTCTTTTTCTAGCTTTCTTTTCTCCTGTTCTTTCTTTCTTCTTGCCTTCCTTCTTTTTCCCTCCCTCCCTCCCTTCCTTGGGATTGGACTTAGGGGCGCTGTACCACCAAGCTACATCTCTAGCTCTTTTTATTTTTATTTTCAGACAGAGTCTCACCAAGTTGTCCAGCCTGGTCCAAATTTACATCCTCCTCAGCCTCTCCACTAGCTGAGGATTGTGTGTACCACCACGCCTGGTCCTTGGCATCTCCCCACCCTTCCTTCCTTTTTACCAACATTGTGTTGAAATTGGTTACTTGCCCACACAGTGTATTCACTTCGCTTCTGTTTGGTAAAGCTACAATTACCCGAGGTCTTGTGTAACTGGTTCAGACTGATCACAGCTGCCTGTTCTATGTGGCAGGTCATAGCAACCCCAATAATTCGGTTAGGCTCACAGAAGGAGGAAGGCAGCAGGGGTAGGGTAGAAGCTTCACAAAAGGCTGACGGTGACTACTGCCCTGGAGCTTGCACTTACAATGGTCCTGACCTCCTTGGAAAATGTAATTATTATGCCCACTGGTCAGCAGTATAGCTTTCATTTCTTCCTACTCCATCCACCTAGTTACTGCAGCAGGCAAGACACGGACAGACAAAGGGAAAAGAACCACCTCACATTTCTGCGCTGTTTCACAGTTCACACCATGCTTTCATACACTACATAACCTAACTGCATGATGGGAAGAACTCCAGAAATCAGAGCTGCTGGAAGATCTAAGCTTCTAGCTCTGACTTTGCCACTGACTGGATGACCCCGAACAACTCACCTCTTTGTTCCTCTATCTGTAAAATAAAGAAGTCAGATCAGGTCACTCCGCACTCCCACTCCAGCAACTGATTAATCTTTAAACCATCCGGTGAGACTAGATGGGCATGATTATCCTCATTTCACAGCAAGGAAACTGGATCCAAAAGAGGTCCAGTGACTCACAGAGGAAGCCATGGAGGCAGAACTAGAATTTAAGACTTCTGATTTTTAACTACTGGTGGCTGAAATCTTATTCAAAAGCATTATGAGGAATAAATACCTGAAAGAGCTGATTCATTAATAAAAATGTTGACCATGAGAAATGAAAAGTGGCTAGCATGAAGATATATAAAACCCAAGGGGAACAGGCCACGATCTGACTGAGGTAGGTCCATAGTCCGTCTTCCTTGAACGTTGTGGCACAATGATTTGACCAATCTGTGAATTTACAAAAAGGAAAACCGTTATTAAAAATGGCGACAAACTAGTGATCCTTCTCTAAGAAGATGAAATCACTGCGGTTCTACTAGGGAGCAAAAAAAGCAAGACACGATGGCGAAGATCAAACTTCATCCTTGGGAGTCAGAGGGGTGACTCAGTGGCAGGCAATGCATGTAGCACGTTCACGTGGCTCTGGGTTCAATCACTTGCATCAAAAACAAACAAAAAGCAAAACAAAAACCCAGAGCAGGAATTCAGCTTTAGGGGTTTATTTTCCAGATGTAGCTCAATTACAAAAATGAGACTGTGGAGCATCTCAACGTCTAGGAGGGCCTGGTGACGGCACCTCAGCAGCTGACAGTGAAGGAATGAAAGCAGAAACCCATAAAACCTTGGCTAAACTCAGCACACCCGGCATAAAATGCACTGGGGAACTGAAGGACTTGGCAAATGAGAATGATTATATTTCATGAAGTATCTGCCCTAGAAAATTCTCTATCTTGTTCACGTTACGTCGAGTTACAGATCCACTATAGGACTCAATATGAACTTTTATTAAAGGTTCACAGGGACAGGTGACTGCTGTGGACACAAGATACCCACAAGTGCCTGGACACCATCAGAACACAGCCCTGCAGCATGCAAGGGGCCAGGCATGCGTGAACCTCTGCACTGACACCATAACTAACCGTGTAGGGGAAGAACGGCCGGGGAAGGGACTTGTGGAGGAAGACAAATCCAGGAAAAGAAGACAGAACAAGATTTATATGGTCTCAACTCAGTTTCTCCCCGACAGCACCAGATGCCAATGAAAAGAGAGGGTTTCTCAATGGTTCCTGATGGTGACTCACTAACCCATGCAGCCTGGAGCAGCAGGCAGGGAAGCAGCAGAAATGGGGATGGACCTTCCACATTATGACTTTTAGAGGCAGGATGGCTACATACAGAGGGAATTATTTCTGAAATGAGAATTCTGCAGATATGAGCCTTGAGGTTTCACAAAGTTAGTTATTTGACAATCTGCGTAAGTAGTTTCAGACATTTCCCCAAAGCAGCACCACAGAGCTCCTGGGACAGGGAGAAAATGAGTCCATGATGCTACTATCAATTCTCTGTCCATTTTCGTTCTGAATGCCTATGTTGTTTTCCTCCTTTGTGAGTCTCAGAGCATCGCCACAGAGTGATAATCAAGGTAACAAGCTGTCTCGTCAGGACAGCAAAGAGAGACGTATCCAATGCATCTGATACCATGGAAAAAAAAAAAAAAGAATACAATTTCTAACAGCAGGTGGAGGAAATAGCTGCTTAGTGGGAAAGAATATCTAGTTTCTTTCAGTTTATGGATTTCTAATGTTCCCTTCTGGGGATTCTTTGGATAACACAGCATGACCTGTTACTGAAGTTCACCCTGAAATACAGATTTCAGACTCCATATCGAAGACAAGACCACAGTGGCCGTCCACATTATCTTTTGCAATATAATACTTTAATTTGTCTAATACATTCTTATCAAGTACTCAGTAGTTAATGTTCCAAGTCACATCAATTGTTCCCATCATGCCAGAGCAGTTACACAGTTCTTCCTGATACTGATCTAATACCGTTCTCTCTGTGACTTGTAGGATGCTGATGCTTTCTGATCTGCTTGCTGTCCACCCTGAAGACAGACCTCACAAGAGATGAAGTACAAGTGGCAGAAGCAGCTGCGGCTGGATCAGCGAGGAGGAGGAGGGTGGTATAGCAGGACTCTGGAGGTAAAGGCATCATGGTAAACCACGGGGAAGGAACAACAGTGAAGCCTTATTAGAGAAATGGAATAATGTTCATATGTGTTTGTGCTTCCTGTCTGAAAAAACACAGGTTACAGGATGCCCTCACTCACTGCAAGAAAAGAATTGCAGAATATGAATGGAATAAAAATAAAGCAGGGCTAGAGATTTAGCTCAGTGGTTCCATCACATGCCTTGTAAGTGTGAGAGACCCGAGTTCAATCCCTGATACGAAATAAAAAAAAGAATGTTGAGCTGGTTTAAACAGCTGGAAGTCAGTGGAAGGTGGGACTGTTCTTCAAAAACAAAATATAGTATGAAAACTGGTTCAAAGGCAGAGGAAAAAAAGAGAAGAGGAAAGAATCAATGAAACAGAAAATGAGCTTGGAAAGGCTGAATGTGATGGAAAATTGTGGCTGTTCTTATCAAAAGTCTTATGATGGAAACAGACACCAAACAGGAACTATTTTTAGTGAGGAGAGGGAAGAGGAGAGACAAGAGTGGTGTAAAGTCTGGCTCCTTTCCCCTAGGATCAAGTCCAAGAGACAGACTTAGTCCACGGGCCAACTCTGAAAGGTTTTCTAAGAATATGCTTTACTGTTGGGCCTTAAAAGGGCAGCTCTCTCAGAAGCACTGCTGGAGATCTTTTATTTCTGATGCCATAAGAATTAATCAAAGATGTAAAAATTCTAGTGTTTAGGGTTACTGGTGGTCTTTGGCAAGACCTGAGCTCAGGAATCCTAACCTTCTGACTGTTAGCCCTGTTGATAGTCATATTTGGCTACAAAGCATTTCCTGGAGCTCAAATACCCATCGTGTCCGGTGGGAAAGGGTCTGACAAGGTGACTAAGTCCTCACCATGCCTATGTCAGGGCAAAAAGTAACCTATTTCACTGAGATACTAAAACCTCATGAAACCTCAAACAAAATGAGGTCTGTAACACTGGTTATTTCTAGGGAAAGGAGCCAAGGGGCTGAGCACAAGCACCGAATAAATTTTCTTCTAAAAATTATATTTAAAGAAAGCTGGGGTGGGTGGGTTGGGAGCACAGTGTAGGGACAGAGAGAGCGGGAGTACTTAAGAGTGCTGGGGACTGGACTACCTGGAAGGAAAAAAAAAAAAAAGAGGGATAAACTTTTTGTAATTGTCTTCCTGCAGTTTTCAGTTTAGGCAATGAGTTAGTTCTTTACTCGTAACCTAACAGAAGGGTCAATGCAAACAAATTAGAAATGGAGACTCTGCATCTAAAATTTGCCAATCCTTCAGAATAAATAAATGACAGTTAAACTCCAAAGAAATAAACTACTAGCACTGTAAGTTTTTGCAGTTAGGTAACCTATTCTGGGGCCTGAGAAGTGTGGCCGTGTAATTCTTAAGAGCTAAGCCCAATGCTCTTCACCTCAATTTAAACCTTGTCCTTGGTGGATGCCCTCTGTGCAGCTGGCTATCACTCCCCTCACAGCACCCCCAGGCACCTTTTAAATTGCTAGTGAAAGTTATTTTCCTTTTCCAGGGCTACAGAATAAACAATTGAATGTTTTCTCCCAAGTTATTATTTCCAACAGTTTTCCCATTAGTTCGAGGTTTCAAGTTGATACTCATCAAGTGGAATGCGCTTTCAGAGCTTTGCTCCTTAATTTACTGTGACCACCATCGGTCAACCTCTTCACCATCGACCTTTCCTTTGTTTTTCTGTTTTATTTACTTATCCCTCCAGATTTTACTGGAGCAGTTGGCTTTTGCTCTTCACCAGGGGACAAATTTACAGTTGTCTTAAATGAATTTTTATTTCTGAGCACTCCTCAAGTTTATCAAGGTTCTCTTCTGAAGTATTAAGAATCTCTTCTAGGGTTGGGGATTTAGCTCAGGGTTTCAGCGGCCTGCCTCACAAGCACAAGGTCCCGAGTTCGATCCCAGGTACCAAAAAAAAAAAAAAAAAAAAAAAAAAAAAAAAAAAAAAAAA